ATTTAGAAAACCAGAGAGTACTGGATTTAAGGTTCTGCTTCCCTGTTCCAAGAGCAGGGACAAAAATTAGGTATAAATTAACTCTACTGTGAGTATCACAGTGGGTACTGTGGGTACTGTGAGCCATCCCGAGGCTATGTAGCAAGGGGGCGGCATATAAAAAACTTTAAATAAATAAATAAAATATCATTTTTGCATAATATATTAGCTTCTGGATGCCACATGTGGGACAATTCACAAGTCATAATAATTCAGGCTGATCCTGCGCAAATGGCTTCAATACATGAGAATAGTTGTCACAATTTCTCCTTGCTAGCCGGATTTTCTGAGGTGCCCTATTTAGCACAGCCGGCGTGAGCCATCGGCCCATTGCCTTTCTTCTCTGTAATGCCAAATAGCTGTTCCTTTCTTGAGCTCCCGCAGGCCCCTTCGGATGACTCAGGCTGGCCAGACTTCTCATGACAGCTTAGCAATTTTCTCCTGTGGTGTGGAATTTACAGTCCTCACCGTGTCCAAAGTTAGCAACTCAGTCGTGCTACAAACGAGCCACTTTCTATGGATGGGAAGAAGGCACAGTAAGCACAGGGACCTGTCCGGCTAAATTTAGCCCCCAGGACTGGTCTGTGGCTTGCAAAGAGGATAAACTGCTCATCTCCCCCACTCCCTCCCTTCTAGCATTGATGCTAGAAATGGCCCCAAAGCACAAAGGCTTCAGCCACTTAGGGAAAATGCCATTACGGAACACAGGTGGCTGTTGTCCAGCACACCCCATGAACCAGCACCCCTGAGCAGCAGACCCATTGACAGAACATTGGAAGGGGACTTCTGCCAGAGCAGACCAAAGCTTAGTCCCACGGGTGTCGTCCAACCAGCAGACGCCCTCAAATGAGCCTGTGATCCTGCGATCTCCACTGAATGGCATCCACCCCACCTGCCCCTTTCCCAGCCATCTCTCCGCTGAGGATCCATTGGCACTGCACCTTGTGATGCAAGGCTTCAGACAACCTTGGAGATGCTGGAGGTGTCCAAAGCGGGGCCCTGCCGTTGAGCTGTGCCCCTTCTTCTGAAGGATCAAAGGCCACTCGACTTGCCTTGGCACAGGTCTTCATACCTCAGGCTGATGGCTCAGATCTGGCCACCTGGGGTCCTGGTCCAGCCCTTTGGGTTCCTTGAAGGGCTGTTCCCCCTTCCCGTTGGCCTCCTCCTTTCCTGCAAGTACTGGTGTATTGGTGATTTCCCTATGTTTGTGCCCCCACAGAGGCTGAGTGGGAGTTGCAGACTTTTTTCTGCATATGCTCTCCGGTGATGCTTTCCTATACAGTGGCAGTCTACCTTGGAAGCCCAGGTGTAGGGAACAAACAGAAGCTCATGAGTCCTTGGCGGTATGTGGCTAGATTAGGCCCCATAGATCACAGCCTGTTCCAGAAAGGCCGTTCGCCTCTTTCTGTGGTTAGCAGTTCTTATTAGATGGGTTCACCATTAAAAACGTTGAAACCTTCATCAAAGCCATAGACCTCCCCGTACGGGAATTTCTCAGAACCTCTGAGGATGGGAAATCTGCACCTTGGCTATCCTTCCCTTGTTGAACATTAATACCTGGAGTGGCAGCAAACATTTGCTTAGCTGGATTTCATTCAGAGCCAAGAATAACTGGAAACCACATGATTGCAGATTTTTGAAAGCTGGGCCCTGCCTTCTGGCTTGGAGACAGGTTCCTGCTGCAGCCGTTGTGCCCACAAGCCACAAAAAGCAGGGGCTCTTAAATGCTAATGCCCGTTTTGTGTGCAGGGTCAAGGAAGTCGTGGCCTGCGTGATATGGCATGTTTACTTTCGTGGAGGCTTGCCAGATTTGCAGCACTTCAGCTAACGGGTGGTATAAATACTGAACTGAACCTTCGCAGTGTCCAGCCTGCATCACTTCTCTAGCCTGGTGCTGTCCAGATGATTTGGACTTCATTCCCATCAGCATGACCTCTATCGGGAGTGCTGGGCATTGTGGTCCCAAACATCCAGAAGCCATCAAGTCATGTGAAGGCTGCTTTGCTTATTCAGCCCATTTGCTCTTTCTCCATTCCTTTCTTACACACACACACACACACACACACTCTCTCTCTCTCTCTCTCAGTTGTACACTTTGCTCCTAAGGCCGGGTACCACTTTCTCTAGACTTCATTTATTCCTTGAGTGACTGAAATATTCATAAACATCCCATAATACCTGTAACACCCTGCCCCTGAGCTAGGAAGGACTGCAACTAAAGTTCTCACAGCCAACAGCCATGGACTTTTCAAATGACAAAGGCTGCATTTACCACAGGGAATTATTCTTTTCTTTTACTGAAAACACATATAGTGAAGTCTACGTAGTTAAAAGCGAGGCCCAGTTGGACAGTATCAAAAGAGCAAGAAGCAGGAAGAAAAATTAACCTTTTTTTGATACATCCTATATACATGATCAGGTGGAGGCACATAGTGAAGGTGGAAATCCAGGATGTAAAAAAGGGTAACATTTTGCAGTATTACAAGAAAATAAAAGAGGACTAGATCCTTGAAAAGCATGCAAAGAGGAAGGCCAGGATCTCTTCTCAATCTTCCCAGAGTGCAGGACATGGAATAGTGGTCTCACGTTAGAAGACGCCAGATTCTGGCTGGACATCAGGAAGAGTTTCCTGGCTGTTAGACAAGTATGACAATGGACCCGATTATCTAGGGTGGTTGTGGCCTGTCGCACACTCACACTAGAGGCCTTCAAGTTGCATCTAAGAGGATGCTTTCAGGTGGAGTGCTCCACTGAGCTGACGGCTGCACCGTCTGGCCATTTGGCTCCTTCCAACTCTATGATTCTACATTCAGGGTATATGAAGAGAACAAGGGATGGAAACGTGTGTTTGTGTATGCATGTGTGTGTGTATTCAATTCCCTGTTGTTGTGACTGGCAAGAATTGTATGTAAGCTTTAGGGCGATTGTGCTGCTGATTGCCCAAGTAACATTTTGCCCTTTTCGAGTGGAAGTCCGTGGCAGGCAGGCCTGGAAAAGTGCATCATTAGCAATTCTCCTTGAGGTTCACAGTCAGGAGGACCGACAAAGTTTAGAAGAATGCCAAAGCTACATAGACTAGAGGAAGACCCCAAAGTGTTAGGTTCACATGGAGCAGGTTGGATGTAGGGAGAAGGAAGTGATCCTGAGAAAAGGGGCTAAAGGAAGAGCAGAAGAGGGGATAACAGAAGAATAGTGAAAAAGAAGGAAGCAATCAAAGTCAAGTAAAGACACACAGTGAAACATAGAAAACAGAGCGAGTCAGAAGGGGTCTCCCGGGCCATCTAGTCTGACCTCCAGCACCAGCCGGCTCCACTCATGACATGCCCACCATGTGGACGTCCTACCTGTCCTTGAACATCCTCACCGATGGGGCCTCAACGACCCCCCGTGGAAGCCCACCCTCGGGGTCCTGACTGTCAGGAAGTGCTTCCTGGCATCCAAACGGAACCTGGGTTCCCTGAGTTTTGCTCTGTTGGAGCCCGTCCTGCCTTCCTCTGCAGGGGAGAACAGGCCTCTACCCACCTCCGTGTGACTCCCCCTCACATACCTGGTAAAATAGAAGATCCTGTTCTGATGGAAGCTAAGAAATGAAAAGATCTGGATCAGGACGAAGGGGGAATGGAAGGGAGAGAATTAATGAAATGAGTCAAATTCAGAGCAGCAAGTAAAAATGAGGAGGAAGAGAAAGGAGGTGGTAATGATAAACACAAGAACAAGAGCATTTTCTCCACGGTTGATACCTTAGGGTAGGGGAAGAAGTATTTTCGCCAGAGGTCATGTGAACCACAACCAGGTTCTCTGCAGATGTGCTGAGCCATAACGCCCATTGCCCCCCACCCATATGGCCAGGGACTGGAGATGATGGGAATGGTAGTCTCACCAGGTCAGAGAAGCCTGGAATGGGTTATCCAGTTAAATTCTCATCTGGTGCTGAAAGTTCTGATGGAAGAGTACCTGTAGTATTTGGTTGCCTTTTAATCCAGATTTGAGAAGGGTCTTTGGTCCCCACCCCATCCCCATCACCCTTTGTACCCAGAATTTCAGGGGATGGATCAGTGTTCACCCTGGTGGAGGGAATTCACAATTCTTCAGGCCTTCAGGCCTGCAGCAAGAGGTGCCACTTCACTGCTGGAGTTGTCTCATGACCGCAAATTATTCTACCTGGATTCCAGCTGGAACCACCCCCGCTCTGTCTCTCTCTCTCCCCCTGCCCCTATACACACAAACACACACACACAATGCTCCCTTTTTCCCACTGTACAGTTAGTTGATTCAGTTCTTATCTTTTGGGAACATGATTGTCATAAACCTCTTTTCTCCAGTTTACCCACCTCCCATCAGAAACCTCTCTTCTCTTTTTCAAGCTGCACTCCTTGTCTTGGGTTTTCCACTCAGACATTTTCCATGCCCCTTTCCATTCATGGTTTTATCATCATCAGCTTCCTTTTTCTTACCATCTCACTTTTCCAGGATTCCTTGAAATGCCGTTGATTGGGGGAAGGGAGAAGGATCAGCCCTGGTGGGGTTTTTCTTATTGCTCTTCTTCCCTCCAGGAAGCCAACTGACTAGCCACTTTTGGAGGCAGGATACTGGGATGGAAGGCCCTTTGTTCTGGTCCAGCAGAGCTCTTTCTTATATTTTTTCACCTAAGATCACAGAAGATTTAGAGGCATGTCGGATTCAGGTGCAACATACTCCTCAATACAATCCGTTCTGATGGTCAGGCTGGAAATTGGTTGTTCTTCCATAATGGCAGTGAAGGTCACACTGTGCTGCTCTTTCATTTTTTGTGCTGCATTGACTGCCTATGTGTGACTAGCTACAGACCAGCACATGTGCTTAGCATCACTTGTGAGACCACCCCAGAAAAATCGTGCATATCATCAGCATTGGGCTTAACGCATTTCCTGTTGGTCTGTGTGTCTGCCTCAACTTGTCACTCGTGTCGGTGACTTTTGCAGGGATCTGAAACTGGACAACGTGTTACTGGATCATGAGGGCCATTGCAAGCTGGCGGACTTTGGCATGTGCAAAGAAGGGATCCATGACGGAATCACCACGGCAACCTTCTGTGGAACGCCGGACTATATCGCCCCAGAGGTACAGGAAAGGTTTCGCCTGTGTTGGGGCTTGACAGTCTCAGATTGCTGTACCCAGCAAAATAGACTTGCTAGGCAAGTTGTGACAGTCGCTTGATCTCGGGGGTAGGATACATTATTTGAGAGGAGCAAAAGATCTCCACAGCTTGCACATGACTTGCCTGGAAGTGAGCATCATACCTGCAAGTGACAGCCCGTTGTGCTGGTGTGGAAGCAGGCTTGCCGAGCGACAGTGTAGCTGACCTGCTCCCCAGCTCTTAACTGCTGTGTGTATTCCTGCCTCATGCATACGCTGTCCTTCTGTGCAGAGGGTTTTTGGACCGAGCTGCGGGTGTTATCATTTGGCATTTCCCAATCTGCTTTCTGGCCCTTCTAACAGCTTGTTCACACAATTCACGTGTTCCTTCATTCCTTGAGGCTCATTCACGGAACGGCTTCTTCACCTCTCAGCCACAGTCGCTGACGTGTGAATAATCCACATGGAGAAAGTTCTCTGTGTGATATTAAGAGCAGTGATGGCTTATTCATGCATGCAAGTCATCAAAACTTGCCCATGCCAATGTGAACCAGGTCTTGTTTGCACAACACTCGTGCGGCCTCAAGAGCACCGTATCCAAGTGCGATGCTGGATCTTTGCGGCCCGGCTGGGCTGAGCCCACCCTGTGGCAGAGCGAGGCGGCTTCCTGGAGGGGTGTGGCGGGGTGGCAAGGCGGTAGAGCAGTGCTTGATGATGATGTTGCCGTCGTCGCGTGAAGCACGGGCAGGGACTTGCACAGCAGCACGATCGACCCAGGCCTCTCGCTCCCATTGCAGATTTTGCAGGAGATGCTCTACGGTCCCGACGTTGACTGGTGGGCGATGGGCGTGCTGCTCTACGAGATGCTTTGTGGCCACGCCCCCTTTGAGGCGGAAAACGAGGACGACCTTTTTGAGGCCATTCTCAATGACGAAATTGCCTACCCCACCTGGCTCCCAGAAGATGCAGTGGAAATCCTGAAAGCCGTACGTATATCCTTGGGTTTGCCATCCTTATTTCTAACCCGCCCAGGTTCCCTCAGGCTCCTTGCAAGATTTCAGAAAGAGAGATGAAAAATTGGTGAAGCTGCAAGGGATCCCAGGCGGCAAAGCTGCACCTTATAAAGGGCTGGAGAAACTTCCTCATGAAGAAATGTTCTAGTGTTTGGAGCCTTAGCACGTAGGTCAAAATACAGATAAGTGGAGACATGACAGAGGTATCAGATTATGGGGAGAAAGTGAGCCCAGGATGTTTCTTTCTCCAGAATGCCAGAACTTCAGGTTCCTCCAGTGAATTGGAACAATGGGAGATTCGGGATAAGAAGAGTGTGATCATGTTCTTGTGGGGCATCTGACCGGCCACTGTTGGAGCAGAGCACAGGACTGGAGGGACCTTAGGTCTGATCTAGGAGGGCTCTTTGTGTTTGATGCTCTCCTTCTTCCATGGCCTCCAACGGGAGACAGTGCAGTTGGCTCAAGGAACACCCAGTAGGCCTTGCAGCTGGGGGTCGATTTAAAGGAGGGATGGATCGTGTGAGTACATTTGGCTTCCTGCCCACTTCCAGTCTGATCATTGGAAGCAGGTAGAGCCAGGGGGTTTTCCATGGACTTCAGTCTCTAAGATTGGTTGCAGACAGCACAGGTTTTTTAAGATGGAAAGGAAATGTGCAAGAATGGCAAAATGTGAATACGTGTAGGCAAATTGTACAAACGTACACTATTGGCAAATCATGGTATTCCTGTGTTTTGCACAAATTGGCACCTGAAAAGCATGTGGGTCTGGCACAATTTGATGTAATTGGCCAATGTGAACAAATTGAGTGAAGACTGCATGCGTTTGGGGTGCCGATAGGCATTCCCCCCCCAAAGTGCAAACAGCAGCCCTTCTTACAGAAATGTGTCTGTGAGCTGGCTTGACTCGTGCTTTAGTGAGTTCACAACATTGCTAAGCTGGTGAACTGCAATCTGGGGGGTGGGGGGGCAAATTGAAAGAATCTGTCAGCTTTTCACCTCCATAGGATTCCTCACACGTTCCTAATTTGAAGCCACATCTCCATGTCTATTGCTACTGTGTGAACAGAACCTGGCTTAGGTAGGCCTTTGTTCTGCTTCTGCTCAGCTTCTTATGGGAGCAGATTTAACTGAAAGCAAGAGTGGACCTTTCAGACACACACGCTCATCCCTACCCACACCCCATGAAATGCCTTGCGTTCGCTTTAAACTGCACTGAGTTCTAGTGCGTTCAGGAGCAACAGGAGGTTTTAGGGAATGGCCTTCCAACATCTCTCGAAAGCACAAGGTGGGAAAAGCCTGTCCTGCCCATCACACCTGTGCATATCCAGACTTCAAAGTAATGTCCAGTTCGGCCTCTAGCAAGAAGAATGATCAGCTTTAAAATCCAGCTTGGCTGCTCTAAACCCATGTGGCATTACTAGCAGCCACTGTTTCCATGTGGGTTAGAGCTTACATAGATGGCTGGCTTAGGGTGACCCCATGAATGAAAGCCCTTCAAAATGTCTTGTCCGTGTCAGCCCCACTCAGCTCTTCTTTGTTCAAGGCTGAGCCTTGTTTTACGGAGTCCGTCCATCTCCTGGTTGCTCTTTCTTGTCTCCTCCTGCCTTCTACTTTCCCTAGCGTAGAATCAGTAGAGTTGGAAAGGGCCATCGGATCCAACCCCCTGCTGTTGCAGGACACCAAGTTACACCATCCCACTCAGATGGCTGTCCGGTTCCTTCTTGAATGTCTCTAGTGTGGGAGAGCCACCACCTCTCCAGGCAGCTGGTTCCACTGCTGTATTGCTCTGACAGTGAGGAAGTTTTTCCTGATGACCAGCCTGAATCTGGGTTGTCACAGTTTGAACTGATTATTCCGTGTCCTACACTCCGGCATCAGCAAGAAGAGATCTTGACCTTCCTCTTTGTGACAGCCTTTGAGGTTCTTTTAGAGGGATCTCATGTCCCCACTGAGTCTTCTCTTCTCAAGGCTGAACACGCCCAGTCCTCTCAGTCTCTCCTCACAGGGCAGTGTTTCCAAACCTCGGATCATTTTGTTGTCCTCCACTGGACCCTTTCTAATGACTGTCTTCCCCAGAGAGTTTTGCCTTCTCATGCTGTGCCCAACGTACAAGAGTCTCATTTTTACCTCTAAGCACAGGTCATGCTTAGAAGCATCCAGGAAAGGCTGTATTAGCCATTCCCATCCTTAATAACCCTCCTGACAAGGATGTTCCTGTCTGGGCAGCCAAACCATTTCTTCTTCAGAAAAGCGCCATCTTGCTCTTTCAAGGTTCCCCATTGGATAGAAGGTCCTGGAAGGTCAGCTCTCTTCCTTTCACTTTCTTGGAAACAGCTTTGGCAGGAAAGCAACCCCGACCTCTGCACACAAGGAGATGGGTTTGGGAAGCTGAGCAATAGTCATGGAAATTCTTCCCCTCAGGAATTTGTCAGGAACCATTGTGACAGTTTTCCCGCAATGATATTTCCATACAATAGAAAAGTCAATATATGGGTAGGACTGTGTGCTAAAATAGCATCCATTCATTTAAGGGGCGATCCTATGGGGGTTTAGCTGAATAAAGGCCTAAAAGTCCCTGCAGGCCCCAGCAAGCATGGCTGCAGGAGCGCCAGACCGTTTTTATGTCGTAATTTGCACAGGGTAGCACTTTTATTTTTATTTATTTATTTCCCACAGAGAAGCTCTGGAAGGTATTCTTGACTGTGTCGGGGAACATGATTGTGTGGGGAAAATGCAACGCATATTCCACCTTCCCCCACTTTAGTAATTTGCCTCCTCTTTAATACCCCTGGAAAGTCCGCTTGCGTCCTGCAAACACAGATGCACACGCAGGACTTGCGTTGCAGCTTCCCCCAAAGTTCATTCAAGGGGTCAACAGACTCCCCAGGGCTTTGCAGAAATGCCATCTCGTCAGCAGGTTTTGCTTCCTGTGTTTCCTCCCATGATGATGTTGCAAGCCCAGTTAAAAGCCCCGATTTCGGTGTCTTCCACCAAGGATGCAGATCCAGCATTTAAAACCTGTTGCCATGGGGGCTTGGCCAGTCACATGGGTTGTACCTGCATGGTACCTTCAGGACGTGGTTTGGGTCTAGCCTTTGGCAGAAGAGGTATAGAAAGTGCCTTACTGTCTCTTATCCAACTTCTCTTACCCAACTCTCTCTTACTATCTCTTACCCAACAGCCCTAATTGGTGTGCAAGTGTCTCAGGAATTCGGGACCCCCCCCCCCGGAGCAGTGGGACAGTTACAGTCTGTGAGGTGCAACCCATGGATGTGAAACCTCGTGCTACTAAAAGCTCACATGTGTCTGCTTAAAATCAGGATAATCACAGGGGCTTCCAACATGTGCCCCAGGCCCCATATAGTTCAAACTTGCCCTTCTGGCGGCCATTTTGTGAGGATGCCCATGGCTTTCCCTCACATGGCAAATCCAGCTACCGATGCAAAAACATTAGAAGGCCCTGCTCTAAATCCTTTCAACATTTGGGAAAAACATGCCTTTCCAGAGATGAATGATGGTTATTCTACAGTTCTGGGTTTGTTTTCTCTCTCCCCCCACCCTCTCCCTGTAATAATAGGTATCAGTTTTGTTCAGGTGTGGTCTGAGGATGGGTGATTTTCTTTTAATTAATGGTTCATTTAAATCTCTAGCCTACCACACCCGTCTCAAAGACTTGAGGCATGAAAGAACAATTTCAAACAATCCATTACAATTAGATAAAAGCAAACAGAAATGTTATTAAAACCCGGCCCAGTGTAGCTCTAGCCACTAAACACAGGGTTGTGTGTTTCTTCACACAGAGCATTCATCGCTGTGTTTTCCCTCCACAATCCTCTCTCCACCTCCGATATTTAACCGCTTGTGTGTGGCAATCTTACGCACATTTTGCTGGGAGCAAGTCGCACTGAACTTTGTTGGACTTCTCTCCGAAAAGACACCTTTGGGGTCTGTTTTCAGTCTGTTTAAATGGTGCCCAGGCTGAAAGGGGAAATGCAGTCTTTGGAAGCCAGTGATGGATTTCTCCTCAGCAAAAGATGGTTCTTGATATGCAGTGGCACAGTTCAATCATATGTCTTGACAGGAAGGAAAGCGGATTGGGCTGCAGCCACTGGGTCAAAAACAGGCTGCGTTTTTGCTGACTTACGGGGCAAAGTGTGAGCTTTCGGGAAAACGGGGCTCTTGCTGCTGAGTTGGTTTCCTGCCTGTCTGAGGCAACTGAGCTGGCAGAATGATAAATCTAGACAGTGCCACAAATTCCGTCCAAAGGAGACTGGTAGGGTATAAATCGCCCCAAAAGATGAAGGGCATCACTAGAAAAGAGGACGGATATATATAAAATCTGTATGAACTTCTTTAATATTTACATTAACTTCTTTAATGTAAGCACATGCATGTTTTATGCAAATCATTGCTGTACACACACAGACACAAATATGTATGCATATATCCATACACGTACACACACATTTGTTTATTAGATTTATATTGTACCTTTTTCTTACAAAGATCTCAAAGCAGCTTACTTCATTCTCGTCCTCCTGCTCACAATCTTATTCCCACAACAACAACCCTGTGAAGTCACCCAGTTGGCTTCATGGCGTATGTACGCCTATTCTTATTGTGTCATTATATTCCTTTGAAATTTTAGGGAAGGGTGCCACAAAGTTCTTTGGTCATTAAAGTTCGGGACTTTAATAGGACTGATTACAGGATATATTTTTCCCGTTGCTGCAATCTATACTTCCAGAAACGACGATATAAAAGTGAGTGAGAGAAAGCTGAACAGTAGTGTTTCAAGGTGTGAACACTTGTGCTTTGTCACAAATATGATACATGTCACAGAACACTGCATAAAGCTAACACTGGTCACGGTTTGTATCCAGAAGGCAGATAATAAATATTGTCAAAGGAAACTAAGACAATGCACTAATTGGGCAAGGGTGTTTCCTTCTTGGTGTTTCCCTCTTCTTGGC